AATAAATCTAGTAAATATATTTCCAGTTTGTATTCATTCTTAACACCGATAAGATTGGTAAATTCCGATCAGTAAAAAGTCGCAGTATCTTTTTGTGACCTACACTGATAAGACCGTTTATTTTAAAAGTAAAATAACACTAAACTCGGAGAACTACTTTGATTAAAAGTAAGAGAAATAACAGACCCCTGGAATTAAACTTTCTTCACTGCAGCTATCCCGAGTACTTACTCTAAACCGAGGGTAAGGTTTCACGTGAAGTTTCCCCCACGTAAAAGATAGGGAAACTGGCGCCCGAGACAATCCGAACAAAAAGATTTAATCCGGAGTACGTTTCTGCGACGTCATTCACCACCGCCGGCTGCCAACCACCGCTGCCGATAAACTAGTAGTCAAGGGTCGTCATAAAATAAGGCGTCCAAATAGGGACGTCAGTGACGTCAATAAATCTAGTATTCTAATTAGAATTCGCAATTGTGAATTAAGATTCCGTTTAGAGTTGGTAGTATACCGGGGGCGGCCACAAGTAACGTCTGAACCGAACCGTCACCACCAAAAATCAAAACCAAGTAAAGTACGTTACATTTGTATAAGCTTCTTAATGATTTTATCGATTCCCCAGATTTATTAGCCTTGATCTGTTTACATGTACCACAACATGATTTTAGAGTAAATGCACTATTTCATGAGACTTTTTATCGAACTAATTCTGGTCAAAACTCTCCTTTAAACAGAATATGCAGACATTTTAACTTATACTGTAGTACTCTAGATATTTTTCATTCCTCGCTCATTAGTTTTAAAAGATTTTTAAAGGGAACTATTATTGTAAATTAACATTTTCTATTATAATAATCTTTTCTGTACTTTTATGTTCAATTAGCTTTAATTTGTGGACATAGTTTTGGGCTATAAAGCCTGTGTTTGTCCCTTCTCCATAAATAAATAAATAAATAAATAAATAAATAAATAAATAAATAAATTACTTTGTTGCACTCTAAATAGCATTTGTGGATTCTGTTTAATTTCATTACAATGATGTTCTATTCTTGCCATCAACTCTTCTCTTGTATAAACCGGAGTTGAATACACCAATTCTTTTAGGTAACCCCACAAGAAGTCAAGGGTGTTAAGATCTGGTGACCTAGGTGCTCATAAGTGTGGTCTGCCCTCATTTAGTCATACAAGACACACATCAGCAAAGATTCATAGTTATGTATGGGCAGGAATAATCGGTAACCAATTAATAGGCCCCTTTTTCTTATCGGATAGATTAAACGGTGCCGGATATTTGAACTTTTTACAACACGATCTAAATCTACTACTAGAAAATGTGCCATTGCAAACAAGACAGGAGATGTATTTCATGCATGATGAGGCACCGCCCCACTTCAGTCGTGAAGTTAGAAATTACCTCAACGCAACATTTGGTGATAGGTGGATTGGGCGAGGCGGACCACACTTATGGGCACCTAGGTCACCAGATCTTAACCCCCTTGACTTCTTCTTGTGGGATTACCTAAAAGAATTGGTGTATTCAACTCCGGTTTATACAAGAGAAGAGTTGATGACAAGAATACATTGTAATGAAATTAAACAGAATCCACAAATGATATTTAAAATGCAACAAAATAATCTTAAAAGAATAAGGAAGTGCATTGAACTAGATGGAGGACATATCGAGCATTTACTAAAGTAACCTCTTTTAATCCATGTTTCATTCTTAACTTTTTTCTGTTGCGTTGTGTCCCCGGTTGTGGCTATACACAAAATACAAAAATTTAATTATCTTGACAACCGTTCATTTTTTCATAAGTCATAAAGTATACCTTTTTTGGAAAAAAGTAACAGGGCTATCTGCCTGCGAGGGCGAAATGTCAAATTTGACAGTTCTGTAAAAGTTGCGTAAATTTTAGAACATAATTTCAACCGTCCTTGTATAATAAAAAATATTTGATTCAATTTTAAATGTACAAAGGTACATTTGAATGAGTTGCTTTGATCCCACAAATTTCAAGTTAATCAAAGTAACCCCTTAGAAATTATAGGCAATATTCATTTTTCAACTTCTTACTTTGAGTGACAATAACTCCTCAACAATGGCACCTAGGTAAAAAGTTTATATGAAGTTTGACCTGCTCTATATAACCCTTTATTTTTTCCCCATAGTTACTGGACACCCTGTATAATAAAAATTTTATACATAAACAAATACAAAATATACAAATTATTATAATTTTTTACCTTTAGTGGAAAACTTTTTTAGGGACGCCTATGAAAGGCCAGGCGTTTTTTTTGCATGTTCAACTGACTTTGGAAAGACTATAATAAGCAAAGTTCTGATTTTTTAGTAGGCAACCATAACGGACCATACGTAGTATTACATCTAGCATAGTACCTCCGCACTAGTGCCAGTAAATGCAGCCATTGAATTAAATATGTGTGGCTGCAATGGTGCACCACATCTTAGAGGTCGTCCATTAATCACGTGAGGTTTTTAAGCCACTTTTTTTACACCCTTCCTCCCCCTCCTAGCTAACACCACGTGTATTTTCTTCGTTAAAAAAAAAACAATATTTTCAGAATATTTTTTTTATGAAAATCAATAAAAAAAACAGCAGCGGTTGTCAGCCAGCGCGGGCGGGGCGATGGACGATCTTACAAAGATCGACCACATCAATTGCACGTTACTTATCGTGATGTCATATTGCATATCACAGCAAAGCATTGGGCATGGTTGCGCGAAAATACACACGTGATATGTAACAACAACAACCCCCCCTCATTGTGAGCAATAGTGATGTCATCCCAAGCCCTCTCCTACCCCTATTTGGACCTCATAAAGAAAAGCTAATAAGCAGTAAAAAAAACACTGATACTTTCTTAAATATTTATAAAGGTGTCCGACGATGAGAATGATCATGTTTAATCGTTCAGTAATTAAAAATATACTATTTCTCAATGGTAGGTGTACTGTGCCAATATTGCCACTGTTGGGCAATACTTTGTGCGAGGCTACAGTAAAACCTAAGTAAGATGCTCCATTATGGCTGTACCTTACAAATTCAAAAATAGCTTAACATTTCAAATTATTTTCACCAATAGGGTGAAGCAAGTTAGAAATCTGCTACGCTACTGAATTATTTTTTATATTGTAAACCTTTATCAAAAAGTGTAATTTAATGGGCACATTTGATAACCAAAAAATTAGAAAAGAATATTTGTTTCTGACCTATTGCCAAAAATTTTGTATTTTTTTTTAACTTCAACCCTAAACGATTAATAATCACAGGACCACAAAAAAAAAATCGACGAAAGGTCTCCTCGGCCAAACCTATCATACTATATGTTTTTTGGGTCGCTGAAACCGAATCTGCAACTCATTTGGTCCCATCACTTAAGAGTTTTTTCTAACCTCAAAAAATAGCTGAAAAATGGTAGAATTCAACAAAATCAACCAACCCTGCAACCTGTTAAAACCTTATAATTCCACATCCTTATGATCCCAAACGAGCTCGACAAGCCGTAAAATGATAACTCGCAACCGTAAAAATACATAACCTCAAAATTGGATGAGACCAAAACCCAAAATAAGCAGCGAATAAACTTACACATAGGGCACAAACTTTCATTTTTGAATAGTAAACCTTTTTAACCTAAAATCCTGAAACCCCATAACCTGAAAACACGATAAGGCCTCAATCTGAAACCTCAAAACCCCGAATCTGAATAATTCTAAAATCCCAAAACTTCAAAATCAGGACCGGCATTAATAAGGGTGAGGGTGGCGATCACTTCGAGCATCAAACATGAGCAGCAAGATACACACTTCAAACAAAGAAGCCACTGGTCGAAACTCATAAACTTAAGCACCCGAACCCACATACCCTAGGGGCACCCTACGCAATAACCCAAAATCCTAAACCCACATACCCTGAGCACAACGTACCTTGGACGCAGCAAGATCTACCCTTCCATCACACAGGCATTTGGCGGTACTCATGAAACCAAGCTTCCACACCCTCATACCCTAGGTGAAACAAGAGAGTGTTAGAGTTTGCAAGGTTAGGTTTGATACTAAGCTCCATTTGCTTCTTTATCCTCTTTGTAACAAACATTGATCTCACTTCGACCAGAATATGTGGATTTAGGAGCTTGGGTTTGAGGGTTTGCTGTGCCCAAGGTATGTGGTTTTGGGAGCCCGGGTTTAGAGATCTTACTGCACTCAGGCTTTGTGGGTTTGGGAACTCGGGTTTAGAGATTTATCTTCATCCAGGGTATGTGGGTTTGGGAGTTTTAAGGTTCGGCCAGTGGCTTCTTTGTTCGAAGTGTGTGTCTCGCTGCTTATGTGTGTTGCTCGAAGTGATCGCCACCCTCACCCTTATTAATGCCAGCCCTGATTTTGAAGTTTTGGGTTTTTCGGGTTATTCAGCTTCGGGGTTTTGAGGTTTCAGATTGAGGCCTTGTCGTGTTTTCAGGTTATGGGGTTTCAGGTTAAAAGAGTTTACTATTCAAAAATGAAGGTTTGTGCCCTATGTGTAAGTTTATTCGCTGCTTATTTTGCTTTTTGGGTTTTGGGCTCATCCAATTTTGAGGTTATGTATTTTTACGGTGGCGAGTTATCATTTTACGGCTTGTCGAGCTCGTTCGGGATCATAAGGATGTGGAGTTATAAGGTTTTAACAGGTTGCAGGGTTGATTTTGTTGAATTCTACCAATTTTCAGCTATTTTTTGAGGTTAGAAAAAAACTCTTACGTGATGGGACCAAATGAGTTGCAGATTCGGTTTCAGCGACCCAAAAAACATATAATACAATAGGTTTGGCCGAGGAGACCTTTCGTCAATTTTTTTTTGTGGTCCTGTGTAATTGGACAAAGGTTACCTGAACCATTAATAATTGGACAAAGGTTTACAAGTTTAACTGGCACCATTTTTGATGCTCTATCTTCCTCTGAATTTTTTTTGCACAAACTACGTCATGTAATCTCTGTATAACATTTTATTTTCCTATTACCTGATAACTTATATCTCTTTCGGAACACTGAGTAGGATCTTTCTGATTATTGGTTATTCCAGCCTTTATTACCCACTGATTACTAAATGCTGTAAACCTCGATGATTCATAAAATAACCGATGTACAAAACCATCTGTCCTGTAAGGTTTGAGCTGTACATCTAAAAAATAAATTAATAATTAATTTATCTAAAATTATTCCTAAAATTAATAAGCCTTGCCATTAAAAGAAATTTTTTCATATCCCAAAAGATCAAATATTGAATCATAAAGTTTTCGTTCTTCTAGTAACTTCTGATCATATGCTTTAAGGGTTTCCATAATTTCAGCTCCAGAACGATGAGGATGAACGCATTCATTTTCATGCGCACTTCTTTCATGAGCCGGGCCCCTCCAAGGGCATCCTATGCGATCAAACTTGCAACGAGAAATCCTAATGAAAAAGTTCTATTTTATTATGAAATATTGAACTTTTTAAACTGAAATAAACCAAATAATTTTATAGACATCATTATAATTATTTCAAGTACATACAACCCACACACCAAAGAATAAATGAAAAACATTTTTGAGATACACAGACATTATTTTTTGGAAAAAAACTTTCTGTTAATTAATATTAACAGTAGATATTAATTCTTTATACAGGGTGTCCCGAAATTCATGCAACAAAATTTGGTCATAGATTCTTAAGACAAATTTAGAGGACCCGTATTTTTTCTTTTTGCCAACTGGCCCCCCCTTTCGAGTTACAGCCCCCTGAAATCTGCTCCTAAGAAGTATTGTTTATATCTCAAAACCATGTTGTACGAGAATCACTAAATTTGGTACATAGGGGTTTTACGACATGTGGAATCTCACAGTGCTACGCTTTTTAGCGAGAAACCCCCTTAAGACACTTTTTCGTGGGCCCCCTTGTCTTTGGAACCAGAAAAATTTGGTCGCAAATTTGATTTTTTTTTAAATTATTAGTTAGCCAGAAAGTCATTGAATTTAGAAACTTTTTTGTCTCTTGATATTTGCTTCGTAAAACGCAATGTTTTTTGAGGAAAATGTCGAATCGCGATATGCATTCGATCACATTTTGACATTTTTCTCGAAAACATTGCGTTTTACGAAAAAAGTATAAAGGGACAAAAAGTTCCTAAATTTAATGGCTTTCTAGTGGACTGATAATTTTTAAGAAATTTAAATATGCGACCAAATTTTTTTGGCTCCAAAGACAAGCATGTGATTTTTATGATCATATGTTTCGATGAAGCATCTAAAGAATAAGTTGCTTCCAAAGTGAGAGAGATGTATCAGTACAGGGGATTACTCCTCAAGTCTTGGAGGGAGAGACCATCCTGAAAATATGTAATATGGCTTTTGTTCGTGGGGTACTAGTGAACAGAGACATATTGCAACGTATCGAGTGTTCTACACTAAGTTTCAAATGGGGCTTTGGAAGACTTGTGGAGTCATAGTCAGAAAAGAGATCTCACCTCATTTGCAGAGGATAAACTTCATTGGCTAAGATGGTTTGTCCCGGGTTTTCATTTGGGATTCTAGAAAGAGAAAAGGTAACCCTGGGGGCAGCCAATCACCTAGCAGAAGACCAGAGTCTACACTACATCCCAAGCAAAACAAAAAGAGGCTCAAGGTTCTTTGGCAAGGCCTACTCCACAGAACTAAACATTGATTGGGATGAATACAAAGGGTTCGAAAGCCTTGTTTAGCAAAGGCATCGGAGGCCTTTTCAATAATTTATAAGCTAATAACGAGATACCACAAAGCCAAATCTATACAGGGAGTTTCAGTTCAAGTGAATCAAACTTTAACCACAAATAAAACTCAATAAATAATTCAAAATTGCCATATAAAGCAAGGGTCTAAGCCACACCGTTTTCATATATCATATTATTTATGAAATCTTTGGTATATGCTTGTAACAAATAATTGCTTCAAATTTGGTGGTGTTAACATTTAGACATCTGCATAATTTACTGTAAAATTTACAAATTTTTGTAGGTCAGTGGAGTAAGAATGGGTAGTAAAGCGGGATTTTTTTACCCCAACTTCTACGCCAATGACTTTAGATTTATTTATTTATTTATTTATGCCCGTTTGCACCATAGTGTTTAATCCAGTAGAAAACATAAATTATTGACACTATTGACAGTACTTAGCTGCTAGTTATAACTTTTAAATTGGTATTTCTTCCTTTTACCTGTGGACTGTGAATGAGTGAGTGGTGTTAAGACATCATTATGAAATGGATTCAGATTCTGACTTTGATGTATTGGATGATTTTGATATTCACGAAATTATAGACTTTGGATTGGAAATTATAGACACAAATATATATTAGAAATGATCTATTTCATTATCTAGAGCTAGACAATATGACTTTTTTCCGCAGATTTAGGTTGACAAAAGAGACCACATTATATCTGCTAACTTTAATTGAAGACGAGTTGGAATATTCAAGTGAGATGTAAGTTTTACGAATACGTTGGCATGAACACAATGCAACTGGCAATCAGAATTTTGGAGTTATAAAAAGTTTTGATTCGTAATATAATTTTGTATTTCTAGGAATAATAGTGTATCTCCTATCCAACAATTGCCGACTGCTCTTCGGTTCTATGCTTGTACTGGTCATTTGTCTGCCATCGCAGACTTTCAGGGATTGACATATGTATCAACAGGGTCCAGAATAATTGAGTATCAATTGCAATAGCTTGCAATTAATAATTAATTGCTTTATCTTAAGCTTAATAATTGCTTTATCAGAGATACATAAAAATTACAAACCCACAATAAAGTAAATTAGGTTATTATGTTAGGTTTGAGAATTTGACTTTGAGATTATTTCTTTCCGAACATAACTGGACATAAGTTAGCAGCATAATAAAATCCCTAAACAGTATTCTTAAAGCCCAGTTTAATTTAATCTACAATCGGCAGTAAATGGTGCAAAAGCTGATTATTAAAACACTTGGCTAATTAAATTCTAAACAGCGCAAATCATTTAGATTCCGTGGACAATTCTACATAAAAAAAGGTATACTTGTTGAAAATCAGTAGAGCATATCGTTTTAATGAAAATCTCAGTTGATTAGGAGACCATTCTTCTGATCTAAGAAATTTAGTTTCTTAAGGCTAGGAAATGAATTTTAAATTAATATTATTATGTCACGTACCTATTAACTTAAAATTCAAAGCAGTATTAAATATGTTTCTACATCGGCGAAACGACTGGTAAATTCTAAATATAATCCCTTGTGTTTTATTTATTGCATTCGTAATGTGATGAATTCCGAGGGTGAATTGCCTCTATGAGCTCATTTTTTTGTTGCGCTATCCGCGAATGCAGCTAAGAGCTCGCCCTCTGGCGGTGACAAGTAATACTAGTGAAACAAGGTAAACATTTCTTGTATGTGACATTTCGTTTTGTATTTTATATAAAACTGTGTATAGTGTTTGCTTTTGAACAGTTATATTAAAAAAATAGTGTGAGGAAAACTTCAGCAGTTATTGACATTATATAGGGTTATGGATAAATAGAAGAAATTGTCGAACTATTATTGTTCAGTTCATGGTTGTTCTTCATGATCCAAGAAAAATTCAGAATTAAGTTTTCATCAAATTGAAGAAATTTTGAAAATATTATTGTCGATAGACAATACTCCCTGAATTTCAAGAGCATTGTTAGTAAGGGCACTAGTTTACAGACACAATGAATAAGTTTCTAAATTTAAATCACTTTGCCCAATTTACCCACATAGTACCACATGACCAGCGTTAAAAACTGCTTCTCTTTCTGATATACAACGAGAGCATGTGAATGAGAGTTTTCGTTGGCACTTAAATAGGAAATGTTGGTATTCCACAACGGATAACGTCATAGTTATAACCTCAAAAAATGTACATTAAATTGTAATGCTAGAAGCTAGAAACAAACAAGGTAGACATAAATACTTACATTAAAATTTATTTATGAAATATTTGAAACCTATAAAATATCACAAAAGGCAAATAACCGCAGTTTAATAACAAAATTACTAATAATAATGGGAAATAAAATGAATGTTGTTCAAATGAATCTGTAAATACGAATGGCGATGACAAAATTACCTTGTCTCGGAGCTTACCGCTTTCGCCAGGGTTACCGTTTTGCCAGTAATTACTGGCATTTGCCAGGAATAAAGAGTCCTGCCAGTAAATTTGCCAGGATTGACTTAACGTCAGAAATTTGCCAGGGGAGCAACATTTTCAGGGATGTCGATTTGCAAATAACCCCCAAAATTTGCATTATTGCATTTGTTATTAAAAGATCATAAATAAGCATCACAGAGCACAGATATTACTTTAATCAGTTTTAAGAATTTCGATTCACGATATCACCGCTAGATGACGATGTATCATGCTTCTTTACTATTATATTTTGTCACACTTGGCACTCGGCAGCGATCCTTGTTTAATGTTTAATATTACAGGTTACAGAGTGATAGTGATAGCTATTTATACACTGACGGGATACGACGGTTAAGACAAAGGTAATAATCACCAAAATAATAGATTAAACTATTAAATGGCCAGGAATTGCAAGTAATAATATAATTAAGTTTTGCCAGGAAATGTCAGGAATGCAATCAAGTTTCGTCAGTAATTTCGTGTCGACCTAGTGGCAACCCTGGCTTTCGCCGCTTGACGCGCTTGCATCTTAAAAATTATCGCGGATAGTGCGGTGGACAGCATATTCAATGACAGCTCCATAGATATAATATTGTTTTGAATTCTAAGTTAATATGTGACATTATAATAATATTAATTTTAAATTTATTTCCTATCCTTGAGCCAAATTTCTTAGATCAAAAGAACGGATCAATTGTGATTTTCGGTAAAACGATACACTATACCGATTTTTAACAAGTATACCTTTTTTATGTAGAATTCTCCATGGAATCTAAAAATGAATCCGAAATTATTATTAGGTCATTGGCGTAGAAGTTGGGATAAAAACAACCCGCTTTACTACCCATTACTACACCAGTAACCCACAAAAATTTCCAAATTTTACAGTGAATTATGCAAGTATAAATGTTAACACTACATCAAATTTGAATCAATTTGTTATAAGCATACCAAAGATTTCGTAAATATTATTCTAAGAACTGACAAATACGGCCCTGTACAGTGAAAACGGTAGGTCTGTTCCAACAAGAGTTAGGGATTGGTTCCGAACTGTTCGAAATGTTTGGCCAGCTAAGTTCTAAATGTGTCTTCAGTGAATATATCGCAAGAATTAGTTGGATGCACATTTCTGACGGTTCGGAACCAATCCCTGACTCTTGTTGGAACAGACCTGGTGAGACTTAGACCTAGCTTTATAAGGCAATTCTGAATTATTTATTGTTCTATTTGTGGTTAAAGTTTGATTCAATCGAACTGAACCACCCTGTATACACTCAGAATTCGCGATAATAACTCTACCGACACAGAGCAGGCATATGTAGAGGATCTTAAAATATGCCGATTTGTTATTTAACATTTTTTTCTGGGATGCACCGTTGAAGAGATATGGGCCTCTGTAGATGAGTTAAATTTTGAAAAACAATAATATTTCAGCAACGCTTTAACATAGAGCAACCACATTTGGTTCATGATTTGCATTTATTGTTATCTTTAATTGGTAAAAATATGAACTTGTTGGAAACCCAATAAGGGCCGGACCAGGGGTAGGGTACCCTTAAAATGATATCAATTTTTTTTATCAATATGCCAATTATTAAATAGTTTTACCAGTATTTATTATTATTAACGGTTTTTGAAAAAATTGAGATTTTGTGAGTGTCATTACTAATTGAATCAAACAAAAAGTAAAGTATGCAGTTTTACGACTAGTAGGCTATGATTTCATGTGTAATTTTTGACATATACAAAGATTGCACATTACTACGTTCTATTCCATCGTCTTGGAAAATTTTCTTTTCGTGAAAAAGTCATGTTAGTACTGGGGTTTTATGTTGACAAAGTGTACAGGAGTATCAAAGATTTCCTGATCTTTTGATAAGGAGGACATTGAAATTTGGTATGTTAGTATTTGTGTTAATTTGTTAATCAAAACGAGATAATGTTTGTTTAACTCAGAAATTGTAATTGATTTACCTTTCACGAAGATTATTGGAAAATTACTCCACTCACAATTAGTAACATATAGTTCAGAAAAAAAAGAATATATATATATATTATGTATAGGCTGTTACAAATTCCCTTCTTACTACATGGATCTCGGAAACAGTAAGAGATATGAGATATTGCCCCCATTTAAGCTATTAAATGGGGGCAAAGTTGCGTAATCAGGGGGACCAACATTATGCCTTTAAAAAATTAAGGCTAACATCATTAGTTTTTGAAATATTTGAAAAAACAAATTTTGGAAATCCGTTTTTGTTTAATTTCAGCCTTGTTTAAGGTGATATTGAGAAATGGAGAACACTTTCTCATGGCAATTTTTTGCCCTCTATCGAATGACAATCAATTTTTATATGTAACATTTTGTCTCTCCAGGACCATTATCAACTTCATTTTTTTAAAATACGATCCTGGAAATTTTATTACATTTTTTACAAGTCTTCATGACCCCCAATACTGTACTGTCTCAGCCTGAACCAGATTCAGACGTTTTGTTTCGAAAAATTAATCTTCAAAGTATTCGCTCAAAATTTATCTATTTTTTTTTCTTAGATTTCTATGCTTCTTGAACTACCGTTCATCCTAAGTGTCGTTAGACCCTGTGAAGTCCACCTAGTTATTGAAACTGTTACCATTACACGTTACAATAAAACATTATTAGAGTTTTAATCCCGTGCTCATTCTAGGTTTCTCAAGTGCTCAAAATTCAAACAAATTTCGATCTAATTTTTTTCAGGATATTCATACAAATACATTTGACATGCTTTTTCACAGTTGCGGTTACAAGAATAATAAATTACTATCATTTTCAACATTTGCCAGAACAGAAAAGTTTTTGAACATTTTTGAAAATATATTCATTTGGAATTTTGGTTGTCATATGCATTTTAAGAATTTGTTATAGTGAAAGAACGTTTATCTACTTAGAACCAAAATTGTATAATTTAGTATTACCTGAAATAAAATCGATTAATAATATAAATAAGAATAAAATTAAGATATGGATTAGAAATAAATCGAGGCTATACATTCATGAATTAATTAATAGGAAAGACATTTATTATAATGTTGTAGGAAGTTAATCAAATAATTTTATCCTAAAATATATCTGTTTTTATCTGTGTATTATAATCCTTGTAAATGTACTTATTTCTCCATTTTTAAAATTAATTTAACTAGTGAGTAGTGTTACACTTACCTAAATAATATTCTAAGTACAGACAAATTATTGGTCCTAGCACAAGGTTATACCTTCTTGTGAGTTGCATATTTATTTACTGTAATTATTTATTTTAACTTTATAGAAAGTACCTTATTATACTATTTGATCCGTAAATAAATATTATTATTATTATTATTATTATTAATTAAAATTGTAATGTTTTAATTTTGACGCAACAACCTATCAAATTATGTATGACCAGGTGATGAAGTTTTAAAGTCTAATAATGTTTTATTGTAATGTGTGATTGTTTAAATAACTAGGTGGAGTTCAAAGGGTTTAACGTCACTTAGAGTGCACGATAATTCAATAAACATAGAAATCTAAAAGTATATAAATTTGGAACAAATACATTGAAAATGAATTTTCCGAGACAAAACGTGAGAATCTGGTTCAGGCCGAGGAAGTACAGTATTGGGGGTCATGAAGACTTGCAAAAAATGTAATAAAATTTCCAGGGTCGTATTTATGAAGTTGATTATGGTCCTGGAAAGACAAAACGTTACATATAAAAATTGATTGTCTTTCGATAGAGGGCAAAAAGTTGATTTTTTCAATATCACCTCAAACAAGGCTGAAATGAAACAAAAACGGATTTCCAAAATTTGTTTTTTTTTAATATTTCGAAAACTAATCATGATAGCTTTGATTTTTTAGAGGCATAATGTTGGTCCCCTAATTATGCAACTTTGCCCTCATTTAAGCCACACGTATCTCTTGCCGTATCCGAGACCCCTGTAGTGAGGAACCAATTTGTAACAGCCTATATAACCTATATTAAACTTATCTTACATTTCTTCAATTCTGTAATACTGTAGCTATCATATATGAGTCTCTACAATCCTTATTCAAGATTTAAATTCGGTAAATTAGATGAATTGTTATTAATCATATATTATTATGCATATTTGTCCATGACAGTAAAAACTTAATTTGTTTTACATCACAAAAATTTTTAACTGCGGGTATAATATAAGGAAACTGCTACATTTATAATTATGTGCAATTATTTAATATTTATTTCGTTCACTTAACCATGATTCTAAATGTTTATCAAACTTTCACTATTATTTGAGATGCCATGACCTGTCTCTTGTTATTTAAACAATCATATTCTTGAGAACAAACTATGTATTTTTCAAAAACCCTATCATTTCCTAAACTTTATCTATTTAAAATTGAAATTGAATTCATATCTAGAATTTTATATTTACCATTTATAAAAAATATTAGTAAAACGTGGCCCAATTACCCTATTAAAGTGAGGTCCCAATTTGTAGCTAATAAAAAAAAAGGAATTCATTGGTATTCAAGACAATAAAAAATGTTCAACACTATAATCTAAAATTTTAACTAAACATAAATTATCGGTCATAATTTTCTTAAGTTATTTTAAAATAGCAAACCTCTCTTCACATTCTGATTCTTCATGTCTTTCCAACGAATTTCTAGGGAACTTCTTGTTACAAAACTGACATTCAGATGGCAGTTCAGAGACAGCATTTTCAACAGCTAAATTGCGTGTAGCTGATGTTTTGCTAATTTCTACTCTACAGCTGGGACATGTGGCTGTCTCATCTCGTAGTCTTGCATCAGCCAAAATATGAGTGAAGCACCCAGCACACATTAAGTGACCATTGCTGCACTGTAAAGTACGCACATAACACATTATATAGTAAATATTTGGACATTTAATATAATTTTTCAAATAAATATATCAAAACTGTATCTTCGCGGACATGCCCTGTAGAAAATTATATGCAACATTTGTTTTCTTGCTGTGGAAATGGTGAAAAAATATAGTACTAGACATTCTGTTTATGTAACACTGTTCAAATATATATCTAAATTATAAGTTCTAGTATTATATTTTCTTTAATTATAGAGCTCTCAAGTAGTGGCATAATTTCTGGAAATCCTAATATTTTTTTGCTTAAATAAATTATTGAGTAACATATATATACAATATGCTTATGGGCATGAATATTGTAGTGAAAAATTTACTTAGAAAAACTTACCAATCCTCTTCATATCCTGGAATTAACAAAATTTATCAATATTGTATTACTCAAAAATTAAAATAAATATTAACTAAAATTTTAAAACAATCTACATTACCTTGTTACCGGTCATTATCATTTAAAATTCTCAATATAAAAGATTGGAAATGATATACAAAAATTAAAATACCTTCATTCCTTTTTCAATTAGAATTTCTTTAGTTAAACTATTTGTGATAAGAACCATCTACTGAGAATTACATAATATTTTCAATTTTTATATTAGGTATTTATTCATGCATTCTTTTTTTTATAATTTAATAAGATCAAAATTGTAAATTGCTGTTGTCCTTGGATACTACGGTCAGCTTCATCATTGTGTATTATTTTGCACCTACCTTTCTAATTGTTCAAATACGTAAATGGAAATAGCCAAGAAACCTCGAAAAATAAAAGGATAGGGTAGGTAAAATGAAATTCTAAATCTAAAAGTGAGTAATGACTACTAAAAATTAAATTTAATATATTTATTTAAATATCAATAATCAACACGATTATAAATATATGAATCATTAAATAAAATCACATGTAATTATACTGCATCACAAAATGTACAAATAAAAATTATTAAATATGTCACACCACAGTTTATGTAAGAATATATATCTTAAAACTACAAGTTCAATAATGCCTTATATATAACAATTTTTGTATTAACATTATACAAAAAACTATATATGTCATGTATCTGCGTATAGTTAACACAAAATAAAAAACAATAATTATTATCCTGTTTGCATCATTTCTATTAAGTACAATCTTATGTTATTAATAAAAAAAAAACATGACACGCAATAGGTTCGGATTAGGATAATATAGCATGCCCCAATGATTATAAATATTTGATGACTAAACCCGGAAGTTCAATATTTAATTTAATCATACACACAAAACAAAGACCTAAGGCACAGTAGAACCCTGTTCTGTGAATTGATATTTTAGTTGCATGTGAGCGTACTATAATCAATAACTCCCCTGCAGTTCTGCTGCTAGGTAAAAGGAGAACAAAGAAAAATTCATTACGTAATATTTCACGAAAAAATTAGATACATGTTTTACCGAAAAATATTAATAAGTAACTTAAAAAAAAATTAACTTACCTGATAAACAGCAGCCCGAGGTAAATCTAGACAAACTGCGCAACATAAAATCCCACCCAGTCTGTCTTCTAACTTATGTGTTTTATCATCTGCAGGTTTAGAAATCTTACGCTTTTTTGCATCTGGTTCTACGAAATCTTCATGTTTATCGAGATTTTCTACTACACTTGATGTTTCAGTACTCGTGGTAGGTGCTTGAGTTTCTGACATTACTAATAAATTGTTAACGCCAGAAGCCAAAACACTGAACAGCTGAGAGAAATATGTCTCCCAACAGAATTTCACAGTCTACGACAAAACCCGATAACCCGAAAACAGCTGACGTGCCGCCGTGTCGTTTATGTTTGACATGATCGCCCCACTACTTCGAATTAACCACGCCTACAAAAATGATATATTTCAGTTGATCGGTCAACAGTGTTGCCAGTGTGGGCGATTTATCGCCAAATGGGCGACTTGAAATATGACATTGCCACCAAATTTAAATATTGGCGATTGGCGATTAATTTGGGCGACTTGCGAAGTTAGCTTGGGCGATTGACATTCATTTTGGGCGACTTCTTAGCCTTTTAAACTGTTAAGTTTTTCTAACGTATTTTGAAAGTGCTATTGTTCAGTTGGCATTATTGGGAGTTCTTGTAATTGGTCTCAGATTGGTTTCCCTTGAACATGTAGACTCGGTCTCGGTGTCCGCACAGAACACACACAATGATATAATGTTATATAACATATTCTGCTGCTATGTTGTCCATGGTTAAAGTGTGTGGTTATGGTTAATTATTACCATTTTATTTTTAACAACAATCTTCCTATAGTCTCTATACACTCGTTGATTGATTTTAAATATAAATAAGTCTGTTAATAAATTCTAATCACCCCACCCACCATATTCGTTTCTGTGTTGTGCCTGTGCCGATTATCACGGTTTCGAATTGTTATTTGCATAATGGGAAGATACGCAAATATTCTTAAGTATGAGAATTCTTACATTTCTTACTTATTATGTACCTAATATCAAATAAAAATAATTTACAGAGAAGCAAATACCCCCGATTACAAAGAATTTTGCGAATATCAGTCATCTCCGGAATGTTCGCGACATTGGGCGACTTTTCAGGACAATATTGGCGATTTTATAACATCAAATACTGGCAACACTGTCGGTCAACAACAGGCTTTCTAAAAAATCTAAAAGATCTGAATTTGAACATTGAATTAAATAATAAACATAAATAATAGTAACAATACTTTTAATTTACATTAACGGACCTTGTAAATTAAGTTTGTAAGGTCTATGTTTACATCAAGTTTAGACGTTATCACCGTAAAAACCGCGGAAAAGATTTACAAGCGTTGTAGTCCAAGCATTCTGTCACGGATTAATGTTAAATTTGCAGAAATTATTACCTGGACAAAAAAAATATGACCGTATAGAAAATTAAATTTTAAATTGAGTTTCTTGTTCTTTAAACTCGATCCAATATGGCGAA